TGTACGATTACAGCTATCAGCTGCAAGTGTGTGCTTACATATTCAACACAGCCCCTTGATACATTGCTATGAGTGCACATTATTAGAAGTGTTGCATGGTAAGGGACATTACCAGCCTTAGGGCTCAGCAGTGGCTAGATCAAGGGTGTGCACATATAGAATACATGCACCTTGCAGTTGAACAACACCAAAGGCGGGTTCCTCTCAGGTTTGTTGGTCTGTCTATTTGAAAGGGAACTGGGCTTGTCACCCAGTTTGGAGCCTCATGGCAATTCTCTACATGGGCATGGATGTCTGAGTGAGCCTTGTTTCTGTTTAGGTAAAGTGTGCTGTCTGGTCTGGGTGGGTGTCTCGGCCACAATAATGGTCGGCTTCCACAGTACTGCACGACCTGCTGCTGGCTGATTGGTTGTACTTGTCCATTATGTGGACCCCACTGTACAACACATACACACAGTCCTGGGTTCGATTCCCAGTGAGACCCCGCCCGGCATTGTCAGGTGCGGTGAGATTATATATGGCTAGATTCTGAGATGTGGAGTTGGGCCCCAGTTGATAGATAGGGTAGATGGTGTTTGATTGGTGGCAATCACAGAATCCTCGGTCTCTATGAATGTCGGGTGAACAGCTGGGGTAGGTGGGGGCCTAGTTGGCAGGACCAGCAGCCTTGGACTCACAGTTTGTATGGTGTAAGACAGTGTGACGGTTGTGGATGGTGCTCTAAGCGAACAAACGTGTGGCTGTTAACAACGGGAGGGCTGTGGCATCACCTAATAACTAATGGGCCCAAAAATGAAGCCACCCTCACGATAACATTCATACATACAAATACATGCGCATATATACAAACATGCCTGTCTGTGCTGTGTCTACTTAATGTAATAATTCGGCATTTTTACAATCCAGCTATGAATGTGAACTTTACATGAGGGTGGAAGCCGACGATGCCTGGTTGGTTTCATTATCATACCTTTCGAAAATTTGTTCTGTTGTAGTGATTTAGATATCAGGATATATTCACCTTTGGATATTCCTTCATATTTTGATATATCGGCAGCCAGTGTGCTGCAGCTCTGCTCTGCATCAGGATGTGTAGCGCCCAATGTAGGCTCGAACCCACGACCACAAGGTTAAGAGCCTTGCGCTCTACCGACTGAGCTAACCGGGCATTCGACGGTAATGATTCCATGCAGACTGCACCACACTCGATTAGACTTTGCCCCACATAATCTCACCAAAGAAGATTATTATACTATTAGTCAATGTCGAAACAAAGCATGTACAAGATAAGGTGATGGCACAAACAATCCCAAGATAAAAACCCTGAGCCTCCAATCCGGACATTGTTAAAATATCCCAAAGCCCCCAAACCCAGCCCCTGCTCACGAAAAGATGTCTGGGTGCGTCATGTGCAAAATTGATGTACGATTACAGCTATCAGCTGCAAGTGTGCGCTTACATATTCAACACAGCCCCTTGATACATTGCTATGAGTGCACATTATTAGAAGTGTTGCATGGTAAGGGACATTACCAGCCTTAGGGCTCAGCAGTGGCTAGATCAAGGGTGTGCACATATAGAATACATGCACCTTGCAGTTGAACAACACCAAAGGCGGGTTCCTCTCAGGTTTGTTGGTCTGTCTATTTGAAAGGGAACTGGGCTTGTCACCCAGTTTGGAGCCTCATGGCAATTCTCTACATGGGCATGGCTGTCTGCGTGAGCCTTGTTTCTGTTTGGGTAAAGTGTGCTGTCTGGTCTGGGTGGGTGTCTCGGCCACAATAATGGTCGGCTTCCACAGCACTGCACGACCTGCTGCTGGCTGATTGGTTGTACTTGTCCATTATGTGGACCCCACTGTACAACACATACACACAGTCCTGGATTCGATTCCCAGTGAGACCCCCGGCATTGTCAGGTGCGGTGAGATTATATATGGCTAGATTCTGAGATGTGGAGTTGGGCCCCAGTTGATAGATAGGGTAGATGGCGTTTGATTGGTGGCAATCACAGAATCCTCGGTCTCTATGAATGTCGGGTGAACAGCTGGGGTAGGTGGGGGCCTAGTTGGCAGGACCAGCAGCCTTGGACTCACAGTTTGTATGGTGTAAGACAGTGTGACGGTTGTGGATGGTGCTCTAAGCGAACAAACGTGTGGCTGTTAACAACGGGAGGGCTGTGGCATCGCCCAAGAACTATTGGGCCCAAAAATGAAGCCGCCCTCACGATAACATTCATACATACAAATACATGCGCATATATACAAACATGCCTGTCTGTGCTGTGTCTACTTAATGTAATAATTCGGCATTTTGACAATCCAGCTATGAATGTGAACTTTACATGAGGATGGAAGCCGACGATGCCTGGTTGGTTTCATTATCATACCTTTCGAAAAAATTGTCCTGTTGTAGTAATTTAGATATCAGGATATATGCACCTTTGTATAATCCTTCATATTTTGATATATCGGCAGCCAGTGTGCTGCAGCTCTGCTCTGCATCAGGATGTGTAGCGCCCAATGTAGGCTCGAACCCACGACCACAAGGGTAAGAGCCTTGCGCTCTACCGACTGAGCTAACCGGGCATTCGACGGTAATGATTCCATGCAGACTGCACCACACTCGATTAGACTTTGCCCCACATAATCTCACCAAAGAAGATTATTATACTATTAGTCAATGTCGAAACAAAGCATGTACAAGATAAGGTGATGGCACAAACAATCCTAAGATAAAACCCCTGAGCCTCCAATCCGGACATTGTTAAAATATCCCAAAGCCCCCAAACCCAGCCCCTGCTCACGAAAAGATGTCTGGGTGCGTCATGTGCAAATTAATGTACGATTACAGCTATCAGCTGCAAGTGTGCGCTTAGGCATAGTTCACATTTGAGGCAGAAATTGCGTTGCCGTAACTGAAAATGGTGTGGCTGTAACTGAAAATCTGTTCACATATGAGTAAAAAAATGAATTTCTGCCACGCCGAATTTCATCCACGCGCGTGGTTGAAAATCGCTATTTCGTGAAGCTGTAATTGAAAATTACTACGAAGCCAAAATACCGTGCGCTACTTGCCGCCTCACCGCTGAATAGCCGTCGCAGCCCATACACTAGAAAACATGTCGCAAGCTCCCCCAGCATCACCAATGTGCTGGCTTCTGTAATCTTGTTGTTATAGTGGCGCCGGATCGGCAATGAGCGGCGCAGACGACTTGTGGGATTTCGGCGAGGAAGAGGACTATGGGCCCGACCCTTTATACCATCCCCCGGCTGAAGACGACGCTGATGAGGACCTGCCGCAACGACAGCCGACCCGCGATGATGTTCGCGACGCAGTGGACACCCGCATGGATGCCGTCCGCAGCGGCTTGCTTCCCGCGAGCCAGAAGAGGGCACGGCGCCCCTCCTCACGCGCATCCAGCAGCGGTGGGGATTATGGCGATCCTGGCAACAGTGCGGCAGGTGATGCCGACGACGCCGGCGCCGGTGCCGTCGGTGGTGCCTTCACCGACGGCGCCAGCGACGGGGATGACGATGGAGGTGACCGAGGCTCGCAGGCATCTGCGGGCAGCTGCGGCAGCGGACGCCGGGGACGCCCCAAGAAGTACACATCGGCGGAAGAGTTAAAAGAAGCCAAGCGAATCTACCAGCGTGAGAAGCGTGCCAAGGAACGGGAGGCAAAGGAGGCTGCTGTCCTTTCGGCAGCTGCTGCCATTCCCAGTGGCCGCGGCCGTGGCAGGGGCAGGGGCCGTGGCGGTACTGGACGAGGCCGCCAGGTGGCAACTACCTCTGTCGCCGGGGCTGCAGAGGCCCCTGCGCCCGTGGGGCCGGCCTTGGCGGTACCACCACTACCCCCTCGGGCGCCCCTTCCATCTGGCGGCGTGGTGCAGCCAGCACAGCACCCCAGGGTGTCAGGGATCAGGAGGCCAGCGCAGCCGTCACAGCAACTGTACCCAGCAGTGTCCCAGGAGCTGCAGCAGCAAAGTATGACAAACCAGAACATCATCGCCACAGCTGTCGCAGCGGCGCTGGCAGCAACACGGGAAGGCACGGGGCAGCCGCCAGTTGCCGTTGGGGGGATTGCCCTCGGCGGTGAGGCAGCTGCACCCGCCGACGGCATCTCTCCGCCGGCCGACCGTGCCTCTCCGGGTATGGCTGCAGCTGCGAATCCGGGCCCCACGGGCACACGGGCTGGGACGCTGCCGTCACCAGTCCCCGGCAGCTTTTCAGCGCTCCTCCAGAGCAGCCCGGACACGCCGGCCCCAGGCGTGGAGCAGCGCACCAGCATCACGTTCTCAAAGGACGACGAAGTGCTCCCGAACGACAAAGATGAGTGGAAGAAGCGCATTGCCAGCGTTACCACCCGCTACATCCTTCACCCTGAGGTGCTGTTCATGGTCTGCTCGCTGCTGGCGGAGGCGTACGAGCACAACGGCGGCAAGATGGTAAAAAACGAGGTCAAGTTCGCCGGCATCCCCGAGAAGCTTTCACAGTTTGCTATCCTCGGTCTCTATGAATGTCGGGTGAACAGCTGGGGTAGGTGGGGGCCTAGTTGGCAGGACCAGCAGCCTTGGACTCACAGTTTGTATGGTGTAAGACAGTGTGACGGTTGTGGATGGTGCTCTAAGCGAACAAACGTGTGGCTGTTAACAACGGGAGGGCTGTGGCATCGCCCAAGAACTATTGGGCCCAAAAATGAAGCCGCCCTCACGATAACATTCATACATACAAATACATGCGCATATATACAAACATGCCTGTCTGTGCTGTGTCTACTTAATGTAATAATTCGGCATTTTGACAATCCAGCTATGAATGTGAACTTTACATGAGGATGGAAGCCGACGATGCCTGGTTGGTTTCATTATCATACCTTTCGAAAAATTTGTCCTGTTGTAGTGATTTAGATATCAGGATATATTCACCTTTGGATTTCCTTCATATTTTGATATACCGGCAGCCAGTGTGCTGTAGCTATGCCATGCATCAGAATGTGTAGCGCCCAATGTAGGCTCGAACCCACGACCACAAGGTTAAGAGCCTTGCGCTCTAGCTACCAACTGAGCTAACCGGGCATTCGACGGTAATGATTCCATGCAGACTGCACCACACTCGATTAGACTTTGCCCCACATAATCTCACCAAAGAAGATTATTATACTATTAGTCAATGTCGAAACAAAGCATGTACAAGATAAGGTGATGGCACAAACAATCCCAAGATAAAAACCCTGAGCCTCCAATCCGGACATTGTTAAAATATCCCAAAGCCCCCAAACCCAGCCCCTGCTCACGAAAAGATGTCTGGGTGCGTCATGTGCAAAATTGATGTACGATTACAGCTATCAGCTGCAAGTGTGCGCTTACATATTCAACACAGCCCCTTGATACATTGCTATGAGTGCACATTATTAGAAGTGTTGCATGGTAAGGGACATTACCAGCCTTAGGGCTCAGCAGTGGCTAGATCAAGGGTGTGCACATATAGAATACATGCACCTTGCAGTTGAACAACACCAAAGGCGGGTTCCTCTCAGGTTTGTTGGTCTGTCTATTTGAAAGGGAACTGGGCTTGTCACCCAGTTTGGAGCCTCATGGCAATTCTCTACATGGGCATGGCTGTCTGCGTGAGCCTTGTTTCTGTTTGGGTAAAGTGTGCTGTCTGGTCTGGGTGGGTGTCTCGGCCACAATAATGGTCGGCTTCCACAGCACTGCACGACCTGCTGCTGGCTGATTGGTTGTACTTGTCCATTATGTGGACCCCACTGTACAACACATACACACAGTCCTGGATTCGATTCCCAGTGAGACCCCCGGCATTGTCAGGTGCGGTGAGATTATATATGGCTAGATTCTGAGATGTGGAGTTGGGCCCCAGTTGATAGATAGGGTAGATGGCGTTTGATTGGTGGCAATCACAGAATCCTCGGTCTCTATGAATGTCGGGTGAACAGCTGGGGTAGGTGGGGGCCTAGTTGGCAGGACCAGCAGCCTTGGACTCACAGTTTGTATGGTGTAAGACAGTGTGACGGTTGTGGATGGTGCTCTAAGCGAACAAACGTGTGGCTGTTAACAACGGGAGGGCTGTGGCATCGCCCAAGAACTATTGGGCCCAAAAATGAAGCCGCCCTCACGATAACATTCATACATACAAATACATGCGCATATATACAAACATGCCTGTCTGTGCTGTGTCTACTTAATGTAATAATTCGGCATTTTGACAATCCAGCTATGAATGTGAACTTTACATGAGGATGGAAGCCGACGATGCCTGGTTGGTTTCATTATCATACCTTTCGAAAAAATTGTCCTGTTGTAGTAATTTAGATATCAGGATATATGCACCTTTGTATAATCCTTCATATTTTGATATATCGGCAGCCAGTGTGCTGCAGCTCTGCTCTGCATCAGGATGTGTAGCGCCCAATGTAGGCTCGAACCCACGACCACAAGGGTAAGAGCCTTGCGCTCTACCGACTGAGCTAACCGGGCATTCGACGGTAATGATTCCATGCAGACTGCACCACACTCGATTAGACTTTGCCCCACATAATCTCACCAAAGAAGATTATTATACTATTAGTCAATGTCGAAACAAAGCATGTACAAGATAAGGTGATGGCACAAACAATCCTAAGATAAAACCCCTGAGCCTCCAATCCGGACATTGTTAAAATATCCCAAAGCCCCCAAACCCAGCCCCTGCTCACGAAAAGATGTCTGGGTGCGTCATGTGCAAATTAATGTACGATTACAGCTATCAGCTGCAAGTGTGCGCTTAGGCATAGTTCACATTTGAGGCAGAAATTGCGTTGCCGTAACTGAAAATGGTGTGGCTGTAACTGAAAATCTGTTCACATATGAGTAAAAAAATGAATTTCTGCCACGCCGAATTTCATCCACGCGCGTGGTTGAAAATCGCTATTTCGTGAAGCTGTAATTGAAAATTACTACGAAGCCAAAATACCGTGCGCTACTTGCCGCCTCACCGCTGAATAGCCGTCGCAGCCCATACACTAGAAAACATGTCGCAAGCTCCCCCAGCATCACCAATGTGCTGGCTTCTGTAATCTTGTTGTTATAGTGGCGCCGGATCGGCAATGAGCGGCGCAGACGACTTGTGGGATTTCGGCGAGGAAGAGGACTATGGGCCCGACCCTTTATACCATCCCCCGGCTGAAGACGACGCTGATGAGGACCTGCCGCAACGACAGCCGACCCGCGATGATGTTCGCGACGCAGTGGACACCCGCATGGATGCCGTCCGCAGCGGCTTGCTTCCCGCGAGCCAGAAGAGGGCACGGCGCCCCTCCTCACGCGCATCCAGCAGCGGTGGGGATTATGGCGATCCTGGCAACAGTGCGGCAGGTGATGCCGACGACGCCGGCGCCGGTGCCGTCGGTGGTGCCTTCACCGACGGCGCCAGCGACGGGGATGACGATGGAGGTGACCGAGGCTCGCAGGCATCTGCGGGCAGCTGCGGCAGCGGACGCCGGGGACGCCCCAAGAAGTACACATCGGCGGAAGAGTTAAAAGAAGCCAAGCGAATCTACCAGCGTGAGAAGCGTGCCAAGGAACGGGAGGCAAAGGAGGCTGCTGTCCTTTCGGCAGCTGCTGCCATTCCCAGTGGCCGCGGCCGTGGCAGGGGCAGGGGCCGTGGCGGTACTGGACGAGGCCGCCAGGTGGCAACTACCTCTGTCGCCGGGGCTGCAGAGGCCCCTGCGCCCGTGGGGCCGGCCTTGGCGGTACCACCACTACCCCCTCGGGCGCCCCTTCCATCTGGCGGCGTGGTGCAGCCAGCACAGCACCCCAGGGTGTCAGGGATCAGGAGGCCAGCGCAGCCGTCACAGCAACTGTACCCAGCAGTGTCCCAGGAGCTGCAGCAGCAAAGTATGACAAACCAGAACATCATCGCCACAGCTGTCGCAGCGGCGCTGGCAGCAACACGGGAAGGCACGGGGCAGCCGCCAGTTGCCGTTGGGGGGATTGCCCTCGGCGGTGAGGCAGCTGCACCCGCCGACGGCATCTCTCCGCCGGCCGACCGTGCCTCTCCGGGTATGGCTGCAGCTGCGAATCCGGGCCCCACGGGCACACGGGCTGGGACGCTGCCGTCACCAGTCCCCGGCAGCTTTTCAGCGCTCCTCCAGAGCAGCCCGGACACGCCGGCCCCAGGCGTGGAGCAGCGCACCAGCATCACGTTCTCAAAGGACGACGAAGTGCTCCCGAACGACAAAGATGAGTGGAAGAAGCGCATTGCCAGCGTTACCACCCGCTACATCCTTCACCCTGAGGTGCTGTTCATGGTCTGCTCGCTGCTGGCGGAGGCGTACGAGCACAACGGCGGCAAGATGGTAAAAAACGAGGTCAAGTTCGCCGGCATCCCCGAGAAGCTTTCACAGTTTGCTATCCTCGGTCTCTATGAATGTCGGGTGAACAGCTGGGGTAGGTGGGGGCCTAGTTGGCAGGACCAGCAGCCTTGGACTCACAGTTTGTATGGTGTAAGACAGTGTGACGGTTGTGGATGGTGCTCTAAGCGAACAAACGTGTGGCTGTTAACAACGGGAGGGCTGTGGCATCGCCCAAGAACTATTGGGCCCAAAAATGAAGCCGCCCTCACGATAACATTCATACATACAAATACATGCGCATATATACAAACATGCCTGTCTGTGCTGTGTCTACTTAATGTAATAATTCGGCATTTTGACAATCCAGCTATGAATGTGAACTTTACATGAGGATGGAAGCCGACGATGCCTGGTTGGTTTCATTATCATACCTTTCGAAAAATTTGTCCTGTTGTAGTGATTTAGATATCAGATATATGCACCTTTGTATAATCCTTCATATTTTGATATACCGGCAGCCAGTGTGCTGTAGCTATGCCATGCATCAGAATGTGTAGCGCCCAATGTGGGGCTCGTACCCACGACCACAAGGTTAAGAGTCTTGCGCTCTAGCTACCAACTGAGCTAACCGGGCATTCGACGGAAATGATTCCATGCAGACTGCACCACACTCGATTAGACTTTGCCCCACATAATCTCACCAAAGAAGATTATTATACTATTAGTCAATGTCGAAACAAAGCATGTACAAGATAAGGTGATGGCACAAACAATCCTAAGATTAAAACCCTGAGCCTCCAATCCGGACATTGTTAAAATATCCCAAAGCCCCCAAACCCAGCCCCTGCTCACGAAAAGATGTCTGGGTGCGTCATGTGCAAATTAATGTACGATTACAGCTATCAGCTGCAAGTGTGCGCTTAGGCATAGTTCACATTTGAGGCAGAAATTGCGTTGCCGTAACTGAAAATGGTGTGGCTGTAACTGAAAATCTGTTCACATATGAGTAAAAAAATGAATTTCTGCCACGCCGAATTTCATCCACGCGCGTGGTTGAAAATCGCTATTTCGTGAAGCTGTAATTGAAAATTACTACGAAGCCAAAATACCGTGCGCTACTTGCCGCCTCACCGCTGAATAGCCGTCGCAGCCCATACACTAGAAAACATGTCGCAAGCTCCCCCAGCATCACCAATGTGCTGGCTTCTGTAATCTTGTTGTTATAGTGGCGCCGGATCGGCAATGAGCGGCGCAGACGACTTGTGGGATTTCGGCGAGGAAGAGGACTATGGGCCCGACCCTTTATACCATCCCCCGGCTGAAGACGACGCTGATGAGGACCTGCCGCAACGACAGCCGACCCGCGATGATGTTCACGACGCAGTGGACACCCGCATGGATGCCGTCCGCAGCGGCTTGCTTCCCGCGAGCCAGAAGAGGGCACGGCGCCCCTCCTCACGCGCATCCAGCAGCGGTGGGGATTATGGCGATCCTGGCAACATACAGTGCGGCAGGTGATGCCGACGACGCCGGCGCCGGTGCCGTCGGCGGTGCCTTCGCCGACGGCGCCAGCGACGGGGATGACGATGGAGGTGACCGAGGCTCGCAGGCATCTGCGGGCAGCTGCGGCAGCGGACGCCGGGGACGCCCCAAGAAGTACACATCGGCGGAAGAGTTAAAAGAAGCCAAGCGAAGATACCAGCGTGAGAAGCGTGCCAAGGAACG